ATGGTGTAGTAGATTTTCTAACTTTCTACAGTTAGCCCTAAGTTTAATTATAATTATATCCAACACACACTGATGTCAATGACTTTGCCAGTTGCCTGGGAAGTTTCCATAGTTCTGTACGCATTTTCTATCCCTTAATCCTCTGGTTTCTCTGGTTTTATATTCTATAGCCTCTAGCAACAGACTAGGTAGTAACCGAGCCATCAGGACAGACCCTACAACATGCAAGGGAGTGTAACTTCCCTTTGGAGAGGAGAACAAAATACACCAAACAACATACTCAAAATGTTCAGTTTTGGAAGATAATTCTACAGATGGGAAAGGAAGCTATACTAGATGGGCAGTCCCCCTTTCTCACTTTAAATCCAGCTGGTCCAGCTACTCTTCCTCATCTAGAGATTATTATCTGTAGTTTGATGCAAACCTTGAAGTAATCTGGATTTTGTTTTAATAAAAGAATCTCTTCCATTAAAAACTGAAGCATAGATCACTATACAGCTATTTAAAAGAGATAGAAAGATACAGGTAACCAAGGTACATTGCTCAAGTTTGTCATATTATTTATGGGGCAGAGACGACACTGGAGCCCAGAAAACCTAACTAAACAATCACATATCTATTCTTCCATACTATCCTCTTATAAAAGCTAAGGCTATACTTTTCCCTTTCTTTTCCTTTTTTAAAACATTCTACATACCTCCTTCTAACAAGGACCTAATGCAGTTGACACAGTACTTGAGCATGTAAAAGTACCACATGTGGCCCTTCTCCTTGGGCTTAAACCACTTGCTATTAGCCAACACAAAGCATAATTAGAATGGTAAATTTGCTGCCAAAGAAACTAAATAAATCCTATTACTAAAAATAAATTATTTAAAGTTATTCACTGGTTTGAATTAATCTTAGCAACTCCTTCTTTATTAACATAAAAAATTGCAAGTTAACTATATCCTAAAATACACTCTGCATCTCTAATTTTCTTCAAATACTTATATAAGTAGGCACAATACTGAATTTCATAAATGGGACTCTAATAATACTATTTTAAAACTGTGAACTAAGGGACGAAAATAGCATTTCTCAAATAGTCCCATGGAATATTAACGTTCCTTGAGATATTCCTAAGTGTTCTACAAACAAAAAGAATGCTATGGTCAAATAAATTTCAAAGTGCTGGATTAAACAAATGTTTTATGAGAGGTCGTCTCAGAAAACTTCATTCTTTTATTCAACAAATAATTTACTAAATGTTCAGGCACTGATCTGCGTTTGAGAGTTACAACAGTGAATAATTAATAGTACATATCTCTCAGTGAACAAGATGAATTAAATTCTTTGCTCTCATGGAACATTCTTTCTAGTGAAGGGATGGTCAATAAGCAAGGAAGCAGGCCGGGCGCGGTGGCTCACGCCTGTAATCCCAGCACTCTGGGAGGCCGAGGTGGGCGGATTGTTTGAGCTCAGGAGTTCGGAACCAGCCTGAGCAAGAGTGAGACCCCGTCTCTACCAAAAAATGGAAAGAAATTAATTGGACAGCTAAAAATATATGTAGAAAAAATTAGCCAGGCATGGTGGCGCGTGCCTATGGTCCCAGCTACTAGGGAGGCTGAGACAGTAGGATTGCTTGAGCCCAGGAGTTTGAGGTTGCTGTGAGCTAGGTTGACGCCACGGTACTCGCCCCAGGCAAGAGAATGAGACTCTGTCTCAAAAAAAATAAATAAATAAAATAAACAAGGAAGCAAATAAACAAAATACCCTCAGTCAGTGATAGAGCTATGAAGACACTAAAATGAGATAATGCAAAGAATGCAGTCAATACTTCAGATTGGATGGGCACAGTAAACTACATAGGTAATATTTTCATGTTTTTCTGTATTGGGGGATATAGCACATGGTGTTTCCCAAATATATGTGATTAGGAAACCTTTTGTCAATGAATATCTACTGAATAGTTCACTGAATCAGTTTAGGAAATGCTATTCTACCCAAAACACAGATAATAGCAAGATCAAGATTCAAATACAGCTTTTCTGTTCTTAAATTCTGTCTTTTTACAGTCTCATCTGTAAAAGTGGGAATAATTAATACTATATACCTCACAGAACCATAGTGAAGATTAAATGATCTAATTCATGTAAAACACCCAATGCAGGGCTTGGTATACACTCTCTGCTCAATAAATGGTATTGTTACTATCTCTTTTTTCTATTTTAAAGACAGGGTCTTGCTCTGTTGCCCAGGCTGCAGTGCAGTGGCAACAATCATAGCTCACTGCAGCCTCAGATTCCTGGGCTCAAGCAATCCTCCTGCCTCAGCCTCCTAAGTACATGGGACTACAGTTATGTGCCACCATGACCAGCTAGTTTTTTGTTTGTTTGTTTGTAGAGATGGAGTCTCACTATGTTGCTAGGGATGGTCTCAAACTCCTGGTCTCAAGCAATCCTCCCACCAAAGTTTTGGGATTACAGGCATGAGCCACTGTGCCCAGCCCTATTGTTAACTATTAATACAGTACTCTACACATGAAGTTTACCTCTACCATTCAAGGGTGACTAATTTTTTCCCTTCTTTTAAAATTTTGAACTTCTAAATTCACTTTATTTTTTAATCCTTTATATAGATCTCTTGAAGACAGCAACTAGAATAGAGACTGCACCTAAATAAATGCTTACTCTATATTTGTACAGAATATCCAAAGTGGGTTAACTGTAGATGTTGGGGGAAAAAAGAAACTTGATATAAAAAAGCAATCACCCCTTTAGGAAAACCAAAACCCTATTACACCAAAGCATCCGTGAAATATCTACATAATGATACTTTTCACATATTCAAAGTACTTGGATAAGTTAATATTACCAGTAACGGCTCATACTCTTCCTAATAAGATATGTTAAGATACCATGTCACTTCTGTGGTATTCCTCCCGGAAATGTACACCCTGAACCTTATCAAGAAGAAACTTTGGACAAACCCAAATTGAAAGATATTCTACAAAATAAATGACCTGACCTTTTTAAAAATGTTAAAATCATAAAAGACTAAAAAACTGTTCAAAATTAAAGGAGGCTAAAGAGACATGACACTAAATGTAACAAGTGATCCCGGATTGATCCTGGATCAACAATTTTTTTTTCTTTTGCTACAAAAGATATTAGGGGAACAACTAGAAAAATTGAAGAAGGTCTGTAGATTAAATACTAGTACTGTATTAATGTTAACGTCCTGATTTTGATCATATGATTGCTATATAAGAGAAATTTTATTGCTTTTAGAAAGATGGAAATAATCATATGAAAAGATGCTCAACAACACTGGCAAGTAGGAAAATGCAAATTAAAACCACAGTGAGATACCACTAAACGCCTATTAGAGTGACTAAAATGTAAAAGGGAAAAAGAAAAAACTGGCAATACCAAGTATTGGCAAACATGAAGGGCAAATGAAATTCTCAAACATTACTGAAGAAAACGCAAACTGGAGGAAAAGAAACTTCCAAATTATTTTCCAAAGTTAAACATACACTTACCACATGTCACAACAATCCTAAGTATTAACCCAAAAGAATGAAAACTTGTATTCACACAAAACCTGTATGCAGATGTTTATATCAGACTTATTCACAATCACCAAACACTGAAAACAACTCAAATTTCCTTCAATTGATGAATGGATAAACTGTGGTACACCTACATAATGCTATACTAGTCAGCAATAAAAAGGAATGGATTATTGATACATGCAACAAGACAGATGAATCTCAAAAGCATTATGCTAGGTAAAAGAAGCCAGTCTCAAAGGTTACAAAGAGTTTATTATTCCAAATACATACATGACACTCTGCAACAATCAAACTACAGGGATGAGAACAGATCAGTAGCTTTGATTAAAAATAGGAAATATGGGCCAGGCACAGTGGCTCACGCCTGTAATCCTAGCACTTTGGGAGGCTGAGACAGGAGGATCACTTGAGATAAGGAGTTCAAGACCAGCCTGAGCAAGAGCAAAACCCCATCTCTACCAAAAATAGAAAAAATTAGCTGGGCATGGTGGTGCACACCCGTAGTCCCAGCTACTCTGAAGGGTGAAGCAGGAAGATCACTTGAGCCCAGGAGTTTGAGGTTGCTGTGAGCTGGCCTGACACCACAGCACTCTAGCCTGTACATAAATTTTAAAAATAAATATTTTTAAGTTCACAAGGAAAAAGTACTTTTGCAGATATTTCATTTTATTCTCAGCCCAATAAAAAAGACTTATGTAGGTACTATTAGTCTCATTTTATAAGTGCAGAAACTGAAGCACACAGTAATTACATGAATATACAAATTACATGCGGCGGGACCAAAACTGTAGTCCAGATACACCGATTCCATTCAAAATGCTTTACTCTCTTAATTTTCTTGTGTTCCACTAAACCTTACGGAACACAATGTCCCTGAAGACAAACAAGATTGGAAGGAGAAAGGGAGAGAAAGAAGAAAATAAAAAGAGTTATCGGAAGTGTGTCTTTTATAATTTGGCTGTCATCCTTAAGGAATTAAGAGTCTTTAACTGAAGAGGTTTGAATACTGATCTATATAGGCAATAAATTAACAGGCATTAAAGGATTAGCTGGTGATTTCTTCCATAAAAGCATCTTAATTTCTTAATGCTAAGAAAAGGAAAAAGCAAACATAAAACATTCACAGGTAATCTTGTAACTACTGCTACAATTTAAGCAATACCTAGTCTTCAGAACTACACTGAGAACAACAATGATGGTGACTACAATTCAGAACAGATTTTGCAACTTTAAATAAACACTTAAAAGTCTCACATGCTACCACCTAAGGGCAGAAAATAAGAGCGAAATCTTTAAAAATACCTTTTCAGTTTCAAAATCAAAGAAGCAGGATAGAATATTTGCCAAAGAACATACTTTAAGTATAACAGCTCAGGGAAAAATTAAGCTTAGTTTAACAAAAAAAAAAAATTGTATCTGTACCACAAATAGCATACGTCACCTAAAAACAATGGTGTGGTTTCTTCTAAAGTAGTTGCATTAGGATCTGCCCCAGCTTCTAAAAGAATCTGTACAATCTTCCAATGTCCTTGACTGGCAGCAAGATGTAATGCACAGAAGCCTTCAAAAGTCTTTGCCTTAATGTAGTTTTCCGATGAATCTATGGAAGAATAAAAACTTATCAACTAGAAGATATTGCCTCTATTTCTTGGGCTTAAAAAGCAAAGATCTTAAGGGGAATTTAATGAAATATTAAAATGTAAGTGATTTATAAATGAGAGGTCTCATAGTTTAGAAATCTCTAGAAAATCAAGAAAAATTTCTCCAGAGATCCCAGTGTGAACAGCTCTTTGGTATTATTACTACACAAATCCTGCCCACTCATTCTCATTGTCTCTTCTCTCATTTTTGGATGAGGAAGGAGAGTGGCAGGAATTGAAAGGTAACACAAAAGCAAGATCTGAGGAAGATGTAGCACCAAAGATTTGCTTAAGCAAGATTTATTGAAATATTAATAAATTCTATTTTTTTCTTTCTAAATTTCCATGAGGCACATGGTCTTATATCTAGCATTACTTCCTTATATTCAACTAATAATGAAGGCAGTTTTAAGTACTCCTTTTCTAACTTAAGACTACAGTCTAATAGTTAAGAAAGATGGTATTTCTAAAAGAATAAAATACATGTCAATGAAACCAAACAGTGGCATATAATTTATAAGGAATTTATGCATTAATTTAAGGTTTCTGGAGTGTATTTGTTATGAAAAACTCAAGGTTCTGGTAACATTCAAATTATGTAATTAACATCTACATTAAAATTTTAGAAACTGTACAGCAACAGATAATACTGAGAGGAGATTTTCTTACTTTTGCTTCCAAAACAATAAAATTCTAAGCCCACTATAGGACAGGCTCTAAGGTGTGGTGAAGGCATTTCTGAGAGCAGTGATAAACAGAACAAACAACCCCCCCCCAAAAAAAACTTTTAAAAATATTTTCTTGAAATATCAGAATTGAAACTAATGTTCCTGGCTAAAATAGTCATCTATTTTAAAGAATTCTTGTAATTGTAACTCACTGATAAAACAGGTAGACCAAACCATAATATTCAAATAACAGCTTATACATCCATATATTCAAAGAAAATAGCATAAAACTTTACAGCATGTACAACTAAACAGCAAGACAGGGTAGTCATATTTTTTTAAAGTGCATATCACGGTGTTTCAGAGATTAGTCAGAAATTGGTCCTTATTCAGATTAGTCAAGAGATTAGTTAGATATAACCCTTACTTATTTCATGTGTTAAACTTACAGTTTTGTGAACACAAATGACATGTAAAACTAGGAACATACAGATATATATAGATAATTGATATAGGTGGATAGTTCCTAAACAGGAAATTTCAATATTATAAATATGCTAATTCTTCCCAAAATAATTAATAAAGTTAATACGATTCTAATTAAAATGCCAGTAGAGTTGTTTGTTGGTTTTATACTCGGTAAAGTGACTCAAGTTGATAAGGGTGGGGTAGTACAGGTAAGTAACAAAGAATTTAGGAAAAAAAACAAGACAAGCATGAGGGGAGCCTAGACTTACGATACATTAAACCATGTCTTAAAGTTAGAAAAAGTAAAATAATGTGGTATTGGTAGAGATGCAGAGAGAAGGGTGCCGACTGGGGAGAGGAAGAGCCCCTGCAAGCAACAAGAGACTAAGAGAGATAAAAGCTGGAAGGTAAGAGACCTAGACCAGTGTTGCATTACAGAAAGCCAAGGAACTTCCTTTTATAAAGAAAAAAGGATATTCTCTTCTACTGAGAAAGAAAAAAAAAGAGTTAAGGTTTAATCCCGGCCATTTAAATACTATGCCTTACAGCAGAAAGAGTGAACCTTAATGTATGCATTTTTTAAAAAATCAGTCAGGAGGGAGAAGGAAGAGTGATCCTCAGATAGAAGGAAGACTGTGAAAAAAGAATCTAAGTGGATTACAATTGTATGTCATAACCTCACTGAGGGGTGGAGAAAAAAGATACTGGCCTGTGTAACTTTAAAAAATGATGCTATGACTAAAAACTATACGATTAAAGACAAAAGGAACTGTACATAAACGCTGTGCTTTAGTTGGCAAAATTTCTAGGGGTACAGACTAACAATTCTGAAACTACACATGTGTACTAAGATCAAACAAATAAACGGATGGCAGATCTGGAAGCCAGGTTTCTTATTTGTGGAGAGGGAGGTGAGCAAAGCGGGAAGACTAGAATGAACCATGTGATAATGGATTAGAGCCCAGACATTAGTATGAACTTGTGTTTAGCTTAAAATAGATACATATGGCTAAAGAAATAATTACGGTTTTATATATATATATATATATATATACACACACACACACATGGCTTATAATACATAAATATATTTTCTATCTGTGCTAAAAGGGCTTAAAAGCAATGACACTCCAGTAGCAACAAGAACAACAAGTCCTCAGATCTTGGGTTTTGAATATCATTCTCCAATAGAATAAACCAGGGCTTTTATGAGAATGGATGATTCTAGGGTTGGGGTGAGGAATATACAAAATAAACCTGGGGCATATTGTAGGTCCAGAAGGTAAAAAAGTGCTCAAAAAACAAAAAATGGGGGCATGTTAAGCCAGGCACTATGGCTTATACCAGTAATCGGGCCTGAGCAGCACAGCAAGACCCTGTCTCTAGAAAAAATGAAAAAAAATTAGCTGGGCACAGTGGCACACACCCATAGTCCCAGCTACTCAGTAGGCTGAAGCAGGAGGATCCCTTGAACCCAGGAGTTTGAGGCTGTAGTGAGTGAGCTATTTATCATGCCACTGCACTCCAGACTCGGCAACAGAGCAAGACCCCGTCAGAGAAGAAACGCAAAGAAGGAAGGGGAAGGGGAAGAGGAAGGGAAGAGAGGAGAGAGAAGAGAAAAGAACTGGGGGCATGTCAAAGACACACAGGAGCCACTCTGAAAGGACACCCAACAGCCAAAACAATATGAGCAACAAAATAAATTACACTGTATTGGATTACAACTCAAACTACAGGCATAAAATACCCATGAGTTCACACAGACAAATGACTGAATAAATAAATAGGAGAGAAGAGATAAATCTCTCATACAGAATTCCAAATAATTTATGTAGAAATTCCTTCCTCAAGGAATTAAAGCTTAATTCGCACCTCTTGAGTGCAAGCCTCAAGACCCTTAGTGACTTACATACACACCCACTTAAGGAAAAGGAAATAAAACCTCCTGTGCAATTATCTATGAAGTAAAGAAAATAAAAGGCATTTCTCTTGCAGGATGAGATATACTGAAGTCAATTTACTACTAACTTGAGATCTTGAAAGATTATACCTATGGAAAAAAAAGATATTTAGCTAACTTTAAAACCACTGGACCAGGAAGGTAACATTTGGAATTAGATTAAAGATGCAATCCTGGCTCTGCAGTTATAATTTGGATTATACTTTGGGCAAATTACTTAAAACTTTGTGAGGCTCAGGTTCCATAACAGTAAAACAAGGATAAAATAACTGACCCAACCCTCAATGGGGTTCAATAGAATTATCTATATAATTTGAATATTTGTAGAACAAAAATACAGATAGATATGTAATCATTACAATATGTATGCATTATGACAGCCATTAAAAATTTGGTAAAGTCTCCAAAATATCATTTTAAGAAAGTTTTCGGCACCCAATATAAATAGGTTTTGAAAGTTCCAATGATAAACTGCCTTCCTTCAATTGATATGTGAGTTTTACCAAAGGGATCTTACCTATCTTGTACTGGACCATCAACCACCCCCCTCTCACTCTCTTCCTTTCACTATAGGAGGGCTTCTTGAAAGAAATGGCTCATTGTACCCACTGTTTTTAATGCCTTAATCTCTATTTATTCTCAATGGAAGGCAAAGTGGTTTCTGCTTTTCATCTACTTGCTGAAACTTTAAATGGCAAGGGTATTAAAGACTCCCTAATGGACAAACACAATGAGCACTTCAGGTCTTTCATAACAACTTTTGAGTTCTTTCTTGGCTACACTTTGAGGATTAGGGCCATCACAGCTGGACCAATGCCAGCCACTGACGCCTGTGCTGCAATGACAAGAGTTGGTTTAAACATTCTGCCAATGATACCACACCCTAAGCTTGCTGACACCAAGTGTCTTTTTTCTTATAAATAATATACTTGCTTAGTACTTCTTGTAAGAGTGGTAGCGATGGGTGGCAGACTGTTACTTTTGTTTTCTGCAAACCCCTAACAAGGAAAGCAAAACCACATGGTTTTCAGTAAAGCAGATAGGTTAAATATCAACATCAGAACATTTTCTCAACAGCTGAGCCAGAATTTGATGAAGCCACACAAATTTAGTATGTGCCAATCACAAGGGTGATAAATGTCAATGTCAGGTAGATTATATAGTCAAATCCTTTACATAATTTACATCATCTTACGTTTTACTTAGGAATGCTAAGAAAAAGTAAGATGTAAAATAATTTTCGCAACACAAGGAATTTTACTTTGTGCAATATGCTCAGACAATCTAGGAGAGACTCCGTGCATACAGGATGCAGAGAAGTCAGTGGAAAGGAAGAAGTTTAGAGGCATCAAAAGAAATTAGATACCATATGAAAAGTAAAAGACAGGGGAAAATAGGTAAAATATCTGAAACATATAACAGTGAAGGATAAACATCCAGAATACACAAGAAACTTATTTATTTATTTATTTATTTTGAGACAGAGTCTCGCTCTGTTGCCCAGGCTAGAGTGCCGTGGCGTCAGCCTAGCTCACAGCAACCTCAAATTCCTGGGCTCAAGCAATCCTCTGCCTCAGCTTCCCAAGTTACTACAGGCCTGTGCCACCAAAATTTCTTCAATTTTTTTAGTTGCCCGGGGCTAATTTCTTTGTATCTTTAGTAGAGACAGGGTCTCACTCTGGCTAAGGCTGGTCTCGAACTCCAAACCTCAAGCCATAGTCCCGCTTTGGCCTCCCAGAGTGCTAGGATCACAGGCATGAGCCACCATGCCCAGCCCAGAATTCATAAGAAGCTCTTTAAAGATAAAGTAAGTTTAGAACATCCAAAGAGAAATCCTGTCCAAGAATAAAATCAACACAGGGCGAAGAAGAGCTGAGAGAAAGGGACCCAGAGTATTAATGACATTATTTTGAACACTAAAGTCTAGCAATGCCTAAACCGACGTACCCACTCAGACTTAGCGTTTACATGAGCTACCATATTTCCTTTCTTTGTTTAAGCTAGTTTAAACTAGCTCAATACTGAAAGAGTCCTAATTAATTAACACAGCATACAATTTAGCAGTATCTATCAATATTTTAATGCCAATTAACTTGGCATATGTGATGATTTATTTTGTGTGTTAACTTGACTGGATTAAGGGATGCACAGATAGCCACTAAGATATTATTTCTGTGTCTGTTCGCATTTGAATCAGTAGACTGAGTAAAAAGGATCCACTCTCACCAATGTGGGCAGGCATCATCCAATCCATTGAGAGCCCAACAAAACAAAAAGGCTTAGGGAGAACTCGCGTTCTCTTCTCGAGCTAGGATATCCGTCTTCTCCTGCCCTTGGACATTGGGACTTATACCAGTGTCCCCTTGCTCCCCAGATCTCAGGGCTTTGGTCTCAGACTGAGAGTCAGTTATGCCATGTGTTCCCCTGGCTCTCAGGCCTTCAGATTCAGACTGAATTAAACCGCCAGCTTTCCTGGTTCTTCATCTTTCACATGGCATATAATGGGACTTCTCAGCTTCCACAATCACATAAGCCATAAGCCAATGTCCCTAGTATATTCCCTCTTATATATATGTGTGTGTGTGTGTGTGTGTGTGTGTGTGTGTGTATCTCCAATTGGTTCTGTTTCTCTGAAGAACCCTAACTTATTGAACTGGCAATTTCACTTCTAAAAAAATCCATCCTACAGAAATGCTCAATTGTGTGCACAAAGATGTATGTATAAGGATGTTCACTGAAGCACTATTTATAATAGCAAACCTATAGGAAACAAACACAATGTCCATCAATATGAGAATAGTTAAATACATTACATCTATACTACGAAATACTACATAACAGTGCTCTCACTTGGAAGGAAATGAGCTATAACAAAATTTTGAGCAGAAGAGAGACACAGTCTGACATAGTTTAAAAGGATCCCTCTGATACATTGAGAGTGGCCTGTCATGGGATGAGGAGGGAGCAAAGGCAAAAATAGAACACTCGCTATTGCAGCAATACAGGCAAGATATGATGTGGCTCAGACAAAGGTATTAATGGTAGTGAGAAGTGATCTGATTCTGTGTGCGTGTGTGTGTGTGTATGTGTATACATACACACAGAAACATACATACAAATAAGGATTTGCTGATGGATTGGATGAGGAATATAAGAAAAAGGAAGGAATTAAAGATAGCCCAGAGTTTCTGGCCTGAGCTGGAACAATAGAATATTTCCTTTTTTTTTTTTTTTTTTAATTTCAGTGTATTACGGGGTTACAGATGTTTAGGATACGTATGTTGTCCTTGTCCTCCCCTCCCCCGCAAGTCCGAGTTTCAAGCGTGTCCATCCCTCGGATGGTGCGCATTGCACTCTTTGTGTATGCATATACCCATGCCCTCCTCCCACCTCCCCCCTGCCCGACATCCGATAGATGTTATTCTTATATGTACACTTATGTGTTGATCAGTTAATACCAATTTGATGGTGAGTACATGTGGTGTTTGTTTTTCCATTCTTGGGATACTTCACTTAGTAGAATGTGTTCCAGCTCTATCCAGGAGTACACAAGAGGTGCTATATCATCGTTTCTTAAAGCTGAATAGTACTCCATGGTATACATATACCACTTACAGATGAAGAAACTAAAGCACTGAGAGGTTCAAAGACCTGCCTGTCCAAAGTCACACCAATAAAGTGATGGTATCATTATTAATAGAACCCAGGTCCATCTGACCATAACTCTTAATCACTATGCTACCCTGCCTTATTTGTACAAGGACCTTCAGCATCTGTTACTGTGCCCAGTATTACAGCATACATTTTTATTTAAAATGAACTAATAAAAAGTACTATGAGCTAGATCATTTATTTTCCAAATAAAAGTATTTGTTAGCTATACGCTCTAATTAATTATAAGATTTAAGTGACTTTAAGTCAGCAAATGGATTAATAATAAATAGCATGAATCTATATTAAAGAGAAAGTGAAGCAAAACCCTCCCAACCATTTCAGATGCCACTATTCTTTTTGTGTAGGCCTATGTACCTTCAAAATTTAGGACACTAATTACGTTTTAGGAATCTCTCACAGTTCACCAATATTAGATGAAGTTCAGGGAGATAGAAATTATATAACAAAAGACACTTTTATATATACCAGTTGAGCCACAAGGGACAAGAGAAGTATGAATCATATAAAACACAGATATGGCAAGTATAAAGACAGACAGAAATGTCAAACTTGCTTTGGAAACTTTTAAGATTAACCCATAATATCAAGTTAACTGATACAGATATAAGACTGCTGCTCTTATCATTGAGCAGAAGAGCCCTTGCTTCACTCATCAAGATTGGAATGTTCGTATTTCACCACCATTTTAAAATACCTCCTCATATGTAGCTTTATGCTAGCTAGACCTTTTACAAAAAGTATTCAACTATCACTCCTCACTGGTTAATGTCCCAGAACTTAAATCATCCAGAAAAGTCTAAATTACAATCTTTTTAAAAAGGCAGGGTATCTGAATAAAGTATACACTTTAACTAATTTACAAAAGGAAGGTATGCCAAGAGCATACATAAAACATTTTTTAGGGCCGGGCGCAGTGGCTCACGCCTGTAATCCTAGCACTCTGGGAGGCCGAGGCGGGTGGATCGCTCAAGGTCAGGAGTTCGAGACCAGCCTGAGCAAGAGCGAGACCCCGTCTCTACTAAAAAATAGAAAGAAATGATCTGGACAACTAAAAATATATATATAGAAAAAATCACCCAGGCATGGTGGTGCATGCCTGTGGTCCCAGCTACTCGGGAGGCTGAGGCAGAAGGATTGCTTGAGCCCAGGAGTTTGAGGTTGCTGTGAGCTAGGCTGACGCCACGGCACTCAGTCTAGCCAGGGCAACAAAGCAAGACTCTGTCTCAAAAAAAAAAAAAAAAAACATTTTTAAAGCAACCGATAAGCTATACAGCACTGCCACCTCATTCTAATCTGATTTTTCTGGTTAGTGAATCAGATAAGCAAATCTGATGGAATTTTGGACATTAGTTCCAACTTTAAGAATACTATAGAGAACAACCAAACTCAAAAAAGACTAAGCCCCAATATGGCACCATCTCCTAAAATAATTCATATGGCTGCTTCCTCAGCCTCTGCAAACCCTACTTCCTATTTCCCTACCCCTCCTCTAATCCCTGTGTATACATTATACATAAATTAGATTTATCAAGCTTACTTCATAATGACGATCACTAATAAAAATACAGTGAGAAAATTTTATTTCGCCATTTATATCAACTAATCGCATAGCTAACTACGTGCTATCTTATCCTCCAGAAACATCAAGCTCAGAAAAGGATGGCCATTAATGATGAAGCTGATACTTAAAATTTCTAAAAGAATATACAGTTGGCCCTGTGTATCCACAAGTTCTGTATCTGAAGATTCAACCATCCGGGATGGAAAACACAGCATTTGCAGGATGCAGAACTTGCAGATACAGAGGGCCGACCTTTTAGTATCAGTGTATACAATGCATAAATGACCCTTTCCTATCCACAGGGCAGACTGAGGGACTTGAACATATCCAGATTTTGGTATCCACAGGGGTTCTGGAACCATTTCCCCACCGATATCAAAGGACAACTGTATAGATGAACCTGAAAAACCAGTTCAAACGCCTTTAAACTTTAGCATGCTCAAGTTTACTTAGCAGCTAAATGAAAAAAAAATCTGTAACATAACACTATTCTGATGTGGGGAAGAGAGGTAAGTATATTAGTAATAATCTTTTTGACTAGAAAAGAATATTCAAATTCATGCTGTTGCCCCTAGAGATAGTTTGAGAACTCAAGTTTTATAGTTAATTTCAAACAGATTCTGAAACCCTATCTTAAGCCTTTATACTTTGGGATGCCAAGGTGGGAGGATTGCTTGAGCCCGGAAGTTCAACAACAGCCTGGGCAACATAGCGAGACCTCTGTCTCTACAAAATTTTTTTAAAAAATTAGCCAGGTGTAGTGGCACACACCTGTAGTCCCAGCTACTTGGGAGGCTGAGGTGGGAAGATTGCCTGGGCCCAGAAGTATGAGGCTGCAATGAGCTATGATTGTGCCACTGTACTCCAGTCTTAAGCAACGGAGCAAGACCCTGTCTCTCAAAAAAAAAAAAAAGACTTATTCAAACAAAACACTCATATCCTCAATTTCAGTAACACTGTTCCTTTTGTTTGGAAAAGGAGGAAAGAATAAACATGACCAGTAATTACTGAATGCTTTAATTCAAACAGCAGATTACTTTTGCCACATCACCTAGCTCAGTCAATAAACAGAGGCTAGGCATAAGTCCTTCCATATAAAGAACAACACTTATAGATGTCCAAAGGCAACATCATACTAATAAAATCCAAGGCAGGCAATCTTACTATCCTTAATAAATAAGTTTACGCAGTTATTTTATGATCACAGGAAGGGAAACAAATTACTACTGTTAATAAGTCATGTATTATCGTAACTTTATGTTTTATTATGCCAGTTTGTAGGTACAGCCTCCCATACCTTGAATTTACCTTACCTGCATGAATTAACATCCGCAAACATTCTATAGAGTTGTGATAAGCTGCTTCATGAATTGGCATCCATCCCCGGTTATCAGCAACATCAACACTACGGCCCTTTCTGAGGAGTTTCCTTAAGACTTTAACATTGCCTTGCCTGGCAGCACGTCCAACTGCAGAGCACGTGTCCGAGTAGGCCTCTGTAAAATCCATTCTTTTGACTGGTCTACAAAACAAGGTAGAAAGATTATATTGTAGTCAACAAAACAACACTGTACTCCTGGAGATTAGCAGATTATAGTGGGCCTGTCTAACATCCCTCACAAGAGTGCTGAGGAAGAGCCCACAGTAGAGATAACGACTGTCATGCCATAGCCTCTGCTGGAGCCTAAAGCAGGAAGTCTCTCTGTTTGGCAAATCAAGATTCCTTGGAATGTTCTCACTGAAAATATCAAAGGACTTTGAAGTGTTCTCCATGCTCCACTGGAAATGTCTGAGCAGTTCTTTCCAGTAGGCTTCTGCTCTTGTTCATACCCCACCAAAATGCATGCTTTGGTGCTCTGTTGAGAGCCAAAGACTTCTAGTTAATCCCTAATATACACTCTATTATGCAGAGATGGCCATTTAACTACAGTCAATGCTCAGCCTCAATACACAGCCCCCTATAGGAAACAACTAACCCAAAAAGGCTAGAAAAGGAATAAAGGACATTTATTGAGAAGAACAAAGATAAGTAGTCATTCTACTTTTTCTGCACCTGCTAGTCCTTTCCAGAAGGGGCTAAATACTCAGGTTCTCTATGCTTGATGAAATAGTCCCACTGGCTGAATATACTGAAACCAACAAAGAACACCATAAAGACAGCCCAGCTTTCCTACACAAGCCCAGAAAGTTCTTCACAGCATTACTGCCTTCATCACCATTATCATCATCTCCCTTCAAAGCTCATTTCAAATTCCGGTGCAGAGTCCAGTACAGATCTCATGTATGACTCTCTCACAAAGACAATTAGACATATTAGACATATACTATTAAGCAGGTCGTATATGTAATTTACATTTGATGATGTAATTATTGTTAATTTTCTTAGATGCGATGACACTGTGGTTATTATAATGTCATTAAGATACATGTATAAGTATTTAGAAGTAAAATGTCATAACACATACTACTTCAAATGTTTAAGATTAAAATATACATATAGAGAAAAAGAAGTAAAGCAAATGTGACAAAATGCTAATTACTGAATCTAGATGAAAGGTATAAAAATGATCATTATACTCTTTTCTTCTAACTTTTCTGTATGTTTGGAATTTTTCAAAAGGGGGAGTGGGGTAGTAACCATGTCAGGCAATGTAAAACTACAACTTGGAGAAAATATGAAAATATGGTTATTCTTAAAATAAGTTTTTCTTTGTAGCAGCTTCCTATTTCTTAAGAGCACAAATAATACTCTTTGAACATGCGTGTTTTAGCATTCCTCTCTTATAAAGCTAAAGACCATGAAATAGTTAGAAATCCTCAAGAAAGAACAATCATTTTGGTAAGGCTTTTGTTTTCACATACACAGGCACAGCCATGATAGTCCAAATGAGCTTCCTAAAGAATATTTTGGAGGAACAGCTCTAACCAGCAGATCTTAACATTTCTCAGGATCCTTGATCCCTGGAGAAACTATAAAACTCATGAAAGCTATGATGTTTCTCCCTAGAAAAATGCACATATACCCCAAATTTTGTACACAGTTTGAGCAAGTTCCCCAGCTTGTTTTCAAAGCCTGTACATGAGCTCCAAGAACCTTTGCCCACACTTTCCTGAGCCGAGAATATTAAACACAAATAAGGTTTCGCGTGTAAAATTTAAATATGCACACAATTTGTATTTAAATAATAGCTGTCCTTTCACAGCCGTCAAACTTCTATTGTAAATTTTCTGCTTTTATTTGAAAGGCAAAAAGGCAGATTTTTTTTAGAAGTACATAAAGTCATATATGGATTACATTCCCGGCTTGCGCTACTCTGGCTGCTGTTATATGGGCACAAATCCAAGTTTCAAAGCAGAACAAAATGTCTTTCTACAAGCTAACTGCGTCGCAGGTACATCTGCGTCGTATCACTTCGCACCAGACGGTACTCCAACTCTTTCTCCTTCCTCGCCCGCGTTAGGAAAAAAAACACAGTTCCAACTTTGGAGCCACAGTCTCCGAAAAGGGTTGTGGGTATTGTAGTTCTCTGCACACGCGCACTGGAGGTAAGTTAGGGAGATTTACGGAAGCTGCAAGAGAATCTTATTGCTTACTATACAGAAGGTCAAGGCCTTCTGACCCACTAATAAAGGAAATAAAATAATGCTGCCTGAGGACAGAGTCGGAAAACCTCCCTCAAACTACAATCCCAGGGCTCTTTGCGCCCCAAGGCGCTGCGCAGCCACCGCGCCTGCGCCTCAAGCAGCCGGTTACTCGCGTCTGGGAGTCTGCAGTCACCCAGGGCTCGGAGGGACCACAGCGGAGTGTCCATGGCCACCACAGGGGAGGAGCAAGGAAAGGTGTGGGTTTTTGGTTACGGGTCCCTGATCTGGAAGGTGGACTTTCCCTATCAGGACAAGCTGGTCGGATACATCACAAACTACAGCAGGCGCTTCTGGCAGGGCAGCACGGACCACCGCGGGGTCCCTGGCAAGGTGAGGCGCCGGCCAGCTTCCCACACTTATTGTCCCCGGAACGCCGCCCCCCAACTCCGGGCCCCGCTGCATGAGACCCACACCCCAACGCCTCCTGGGGGCCAAGCACGTGGGCTGGGGTAACTTATCTATGCACCTTTCTCGGCCATCTGCCCCCATATCTGTCCCAAACCAGGGCACATTCCGAGGCTGCTTAAGATACTGATGGTTAGTTTCTTGAGGCTAGAAGCCCAGGCATAAGCACACAAGCTTGCACGAGGCCGACGTGCTGGGAGGGGGCCCCAGCTCTTTACAGCCTCAGCCTAAAGAAAACATTGGTGGGAATATGAATTTTCGTGTCACCATGGAGTTGAAATATTAAAAGCAACTTGCAAATTCAGCTTTTTAGCAATTTTTTGGTATTTCTGCATTTTAGCAGACTTTAATTGGTTTGCGTTTAAACGTGCATGTTATTTCTAGAGTTTCTTTATATCCTTCAAAAGGTCTTATTTTATGACACCTAAGAACTCCTAGTGTCCAAAATTATCTCTGGTTACTAAGGAGCTCTTTCAGGTACTAGCAAAGTTAAATGAAATTCCTGTTTTGTTATATGAGTAACACAGTACCAAACCCATTACTATATCCAGCATTATTTTAATGTTACTTTCTCCACGGTTCTCAATTATAAATGTCAAATATAAGTTCTTTGACCCACTTTTCAGTCAGTCATACAAAGACATCTCAATATAGGTGTACAGAGAATTAGTACTACTTATGCAAATCAGCCTTGTATTGGCTACAAAGCAACTAATAGGTAAAGAAAACTAAGTTTGGGGTACCTAATAATTTGGATAACTTGGACACTTGGTTAACCTCTTTTGGAAGAATATAAAAATTTTTATTGGTTATATGGTCTCTAAAATACTCTGAAGATTATGTGAGGTTGATTACTGTTTTTTAAAAAAATTAATTAGTCCAAAAGTACAATATTTAAAAGGATACGGTTAATTCCAAAAGAAATACCTGCAGTTATGGAAAGGGGAAGAGATCAAGGCTCTAAAGTAGTTTGCATCTGCTCATAAAAGAGACATAGGATTGAAATCTTTAAAATAACCTGAGTTTGAAGCCAATTTACTTCAATTAGAATTGGTCAGTTTTAAGGTCAACTGTACTGGTTGGCCTATTGGGATGTTGGACTGGACAGAACGACTTGGAAAGGGGGGAGTGGCTTATGGCAAATGCACATTATTAGACCAAAGAAATGTTGTGGCCAAAGTACCTTCAAGGATGTTATCACATATATAGCATACAAAAGAATATTCAAGACATTAAAGAACAAAGCTAAATAAAATGCCTATTGAATGTCAGCTTTTTTTTTAAGAGACATTTATTTATTTTGTAGAGATAAGGTCCCACTATGTGTCCCAGGCTGGTTTTGAACTCCTGGCCTCAAGCAATCCTCCTGCCTCAGCCTCCTAAAGTGCTGGCATTACAGGCTTGAGCCACGATGCTGAGCCTTTGAATGTCAGTTTTGACATGAACACTTAAAATTGTCATTCTGAAGAGAAAACCCTTAGCCTAGACTTCAGTTTTAATGACCAATTATTAAATACTTATGTATGTGGTTATAATAGCATATTCTACTACTCTAGTCTGAACCAGAATGTATATTGTTACACAGCACATTGAAATATGTACACTGTCAGAAAAGACTGATAAGAAACTGTCTAGTCAATACAACAGTTCATGATTCTTTAAAAGGAGAAGGGAGCTATAAAAGCCAGTATCTCTTTATACTTAAATTTACTAAAATATAGAAAAAGAAAGTTAGGGGGGAAAAAACTGCACTGGCTAACAGTTTGACACCTACTTTTATTTAAAGAATCCATCCTAGTAAATTAAAGTAAAATCTAAGTACTAAACATTTTCTAAGTACATATACTGTTCTATTTTTTAAGAAACTGGAAAGAACATTGTAATTTTACTTCACATATTTTATTACAATAGATTGCCAGCCTTATATATCACAAAACTGGCTGTTTCTCACCAAAATAAGGATTTAAATGTGAAATATTTTTCACACACCAAATAGAATATATTACAGCTTCAAGAAAAGGAAACATTTTAATGCAAGAGACAATCATGAACATTTACTAGTCCCTAACTTTTCTAGCTAGATCAGAAACATTACTCATTACCCAATGAAAACATCATGACTCATACTTCACAACACCCTCCAATCCCATTCAGCTTTAAAGACCCCTTCTTCAGTTTCAATGGCAAAAAAAAAAAAAAAAAACAAACATCATTTACGTGCATTTACAAATTTACATTGTTTCTCAAGAATATATTTATTTTAGGGACAAAGAGCTTAAGTTCTAGAAAAGACATCCAAGCAAATTTATCAAAGTGCTGATAGTCCATGTCTATATCATTTAGAGCAGTCACAGGATTCCATTTATTTCCCCTTAAAATGACTCCCTCCATACTTCCTGTTTTCTGTTCCACCTGCCACCACCCAAGTCCAAGACTTCACTATCCCTCGTCTTCCTCTCAGTAATTACTACTGAGCACTTAAGTGGGAGACACCTATGCAACCAAAAATACTTGATAAGGAAAATGAATAAAAGAAGCAGTAAGAGTCTAGGAGAAGGAGCTGCAAAATCCACCTGGAGAATTAGCCAAGACTTTATGGAGGAGGTAGCTAGATGATATCCTAGACACATAAAATTGTGAAGGGCATTCCACAATAGGCACCAGTATATTCAAAGATATGAACGTTTTAAGGAGTTATAAATAATTCAGCACAGCTTGAGGGGAAAAGTGAAAAGAAATGAGGTTTGTAGTTGAGTAATGCTAAGGAATTTTGACTTTATCCTATAGAATACCTCAATCATGAAAAATATGAAATGAGTGGCCTAATTTTTGTTCCTGAAAGTCATTCCAGGCCCAAGTAGAAAACACAGTGGAGGGAAGCAAAACTAGAGGCGGGGAAATCCCTACGGAAGCTACCGAAGGATGAAGAACCAGATTCAGAAGAAACTCAAAAGACAGAACTACCAAGAATTGGTGACTAGGCTGGATATAAGGGGAAGCAAGGAGAGGTAGAGTGCAAAACTTGTCACCTGACCACTAAGATTTCTTATTCTGCATCTTCCTTCTTCCACTCTAACTTTCATACCACACTCTTTACCAAACTAATCTTTCCAAAACACTTCTGTTATGCCAGTCGACCTGCTACTCAAGTGCTATAATGTTCCTTATTTTCAATTTCTCTCAAATTTCAGTGGCTTCTTATTTCCACTGTCCCCTAATTTCAACTCTGCTCTTTGGCTTTTCAAATCTGACTCCATCCTATTTCTCCGGTCATCTTTCTGAATCATCTCCCCTACCTGGGGGACCCTCTGACAAAGTCAGACACTTGGCCTGGTGCAGTCCAGCCTCTGGGCCCTGCCTGACTCAGGAATCATGAGTCATGATGCCCTTTTGCCAGAATAGGTATCTTTCTGATCACCTAAGACTCAGAATTCTTACTGCACTCAATAAATATATCTTAGCCCTTAAGTATTCTCTACTTATTTCACATGTTAGTTCGTATTCCAGAATTACAAAATAAGCTCTTGGAAGCATGAATCAAGGTTTTATCTTCTCCACAGCACAGAGTAGGTATTCAATAAATAGCTTCTAATTCACTTTGAAAGTGAAATATAGCAAAATAGCTACTTGACCCACACCAGTGTATGTATCCTCATTGTAACATTATCTTAAATACAATACAAGTGGCTGGGCCTGACAGTTCACGCCTGTAATCCTAGCACTCAGGGAGACTGAAGTGGGAGGACAGCTTGAGGTCAAAAGTTCGAGACCAGCCTGAGCAAGAGCGAGACCCCCGTCTCTACTAAAAATAGAAAGAAATTAGCTGGGCAACTAAAACAGAAAAAATTAGCCAGGCATGGTGGTGCGTGCCTGTAGTCCCAGCTACTTGTGAGGCTGAGGCAAGAAGATCGCTTGAGCCCAGGAGTTTGAAGTTGCTGTGAGCTAGGCTGACGCCAGAGTTAGCCCCGGCAACAGACTAAGACTAAGACTCTGTCTTAACAAAAAAACAAAAAACAAGTCAGAAACCTAAATGTCCAAGAACACGGGAATGTTTAAATTACAGTTCATCAGTGATACAATATGATGTAACTATTAAAATGTATGAGAAGACTAGCAGGAAAATATAATTAAATGAGAAATCATAATGCAAAATCCCATGTGTTCTATGATTACAAATTATACAAACACAAAAGACTAGAAGGAAATAGCAACAAAGATGACACAAATAGCTGAATGATTTAGGCTCACTATGTGCCAGACATTGGGCATACATATAAGTAAAATTGTGGCTTACAACTCAGCATTCTCACTGATATTAATATGTTGGTAGATACATAGCCTTTGGCACTAGGTAGGAATTCTTTGAAGAAAAGCTTGCAGTCATTGGTTTAAGTCACCTTTGTGACTTAAATTATGGAATATTCCAAGTCTAGATTTTCTCTAAGGCTTTCAATTATTATAAACATAGATTGTTTTCTCAGTCTTTGAAATGGAAGAGCAAATAAAATTTGTTTTGGCTTGATAATATCTCATTTCAATCTCAAGATGAATGATAGTCAGGCTTCTTTCCATGTAACTGTTAACTGACCTGTGTTAAAAGGCCGGGTGTGGTGGCTCATACCTATAATCCTAGCACTCTGGGAGGCTGAGGTGGGAGGATTGCGTGAGCTCAGGAGTTCGAGACCAGCCTGAGCAAGGCTGACACCCTGTCTCTAAAAAAAAAAAACCAAAATGGAAAAATAAAATAAAATAAAATTGCCTAGAACACATGAGGTCAAACTGTCCCATATAAGAAGAACTATATGAATAGGCCAGTTCTAATATTAACCTTTCAATAGGGCAATGTAAAGTTTATTTATGAATGTAAAAAGGGTGCCTGCCCTGAAGCACCCACTGCCATATGTAAAAAAGGTAAGAACACTTCATAACTCAGAAGTTAAAATCGCTCATTCTCTCACACTTGAGACCTCTTAGTATACCTTGGTAGCAGTGGTTCTTAAAGTATGAGCTCCAAAACAATTCCACTGGAACCACCTGGGAAGTTGTTACAAATGCAAATACTGAGACAGCTTCCGATTTATGGGATCAGAAACTCTGGAGGTGTGGCCTAACAATGTGTTTATCAAGCCAAGTAATTTTGATCTGCACTAAAGATGCAAAACTACTTCCCTATAGGAAAGCACCCCAGGATGTCATATTTGTTTCCCTAATAAAACTGCAACAATCTTTTCTCCTAAGGGGAAAACCAGAATTTTTATTTATAATTGCTGCTTCCATTTGCCTTTCATTTTAGATAAACCTCAGTCACCGGTTGTGTTTTTTAATATATCCCTTTTAAGTGAACA